GTTGTCTTGTATAACCTCCTCTTGTATAACCATGACCTTTCACCAGGCTGCCAAACGCGGCTAATTTCTGTCACAGTCGATTCGAGTAGATGTATCACAATTTGCGGCACTTCTTCTTCAGGTCGAAATTAACAATCACACACTCATATTTCATGGCCGAATCGGCGGACAGCAGTCGCAGTCAAACCTGATTAACGGTGTTCGCTAAACACAGCCTCTGTAACCGCCAATGTGCCAGCCTTTTCGTCAAAAGAATCAAAATCGTCTTCATGATAATGGACACCTTCTATCAGCCAGTACGAGTATAACAGCAACAGGTCGATACTGTAGAATTTTTAAAAGCACATCCCTTGTAAGCTGTCCAAGAAAAACGCATTTGTTTTCGCTGCTAGCGGCTGCATCTGCAACAGCATCACCATTAGCCTTTCTTTCATCATCATCGTCATAGAAATTGTCACGACTCTCTCGTGGTTGTCGCCGCAGTGACTGACAAACGTTACACGATGAAAACATTACAAACGTTACTGCTGATAAAATAATCGTCGCATATCTCTTCTAATAAAGACAAAACAAGTAATTTACGTGCAAGCTTATCTGCGAGATTAAGCGTAGAGGAGAACCTTATACGCCAACTTCAGTACAGCACACTGAGGAACAGTACAACGATCGCAACTGCTCTATTTCTACAGACTGCAGCTGGCGTTAAAGAATAAAACAACTTTTGCAGTAGTGGCTAAATTTCGGTCTCTCGCCCAATCTCATGATGAACGTAGTAACTGTAGATTAACTTCATGGAGCTTGAAGCGTGTTTCAACCTGTACAGCGTTGATATAACCATCGTAAATGCGCTAAAAAATTCGAATAATCCTCAATGAAATATACGCAAAGAAGAATGCGCAATTTCTTAAATAGTACATCAAGAAACCGAGTCGAAAGCTTTCGCGAAACGCAAACAGCTGATGACATTTCTGTAATTCCTCCCTTTCCACAAATAATCAAGCATGGTTAACATGCGGCCAAGTTGAATGTCTGCTAGTTCAAGTCACATGGCACTTCGTTAAGAACTGATCTCTATGTGATCGTCACCTGTTCATTACGCCCGGTACAAGTACTTTACAAAGTACATGGAGTAGTTGATTGCCCGTGTAGATGGCTGCGTCGAAACTGCACCGTTTCTTCAGCCAATCTGCAAGAATCTGCTCGCTATGTCAGACTTTCTGACAGGTTATTCCTCATGATTGTACTTTTCGGCTTAAGGCCTAATTTACAAGGTTCGGCTGTCCTCCATCGGACCCAAGCGCTTTCCGTTATTCATCTGGTCTCATCAATTCCGACATCAAACATACGGCGGCTAACACTTTATCATCGTTTTGGTAAAGTGCCAACAAGTCGCAACCGCATCAAATCAGACTTAGGCGCATTATGGTATCACGTCCTTGTCCGTAGATGCAGAGCAGGAAACGAAAACAGGATTCGGCTCAAATGTGTTTTATTACCCGCACTACAACTGCTTCCCGTACCATTCTAGTGGCTATATAAATATTTCGCCCGGAAGTCAGTACCACCGAAGCAATGCATTCAACAGTCTATGCTCCCGGGGTCGTGCGTTCATCAGCACACTTACTGTGTACGAATACATATTTCTAATGTTACTGCAATAGTTTAATGAAACTAGCGGGTCGTCAAGCCCCGGTGAAGAGGAAGGTACAGCTGATAGAGAAAAAAACTATGCCAGTAATAACGATAGGGCAATATTAGCAATCACGCTGCTACAAAAATTTTTTTTATAAATGCTGAGAAATTTAGCGTTAAAACAGCAGTTATCCGTCAAACTTAGTAATTTGCGACAGGCGTAAGCTAAAACGCAACTATTACTGAAGAGCTAGATTCGCAGATGAAACGGAAATTGCAATTCCATACTGTAATTTCG